GAATTAAAGCCGCTTCTTGACTTGGCTCGACTTGACTATAATATCAGAGTTGCGGCTCAACCGAATCAGTTCGGCGAGTTTGTCGTAAAATTCGTCCTTTTGTGAAGCAGGACTGCAGTTGGTTGGTGCATATGCGGAAATTATGAACAAGCACCTTTTGATGTTGCTACTCTTCCGAACACTAACTAATCCCTGTAGCCTCATTGCGCACAGACGACGAGTATCCAATCTATCATAGGGGCTTCAGCTTTATCGTTTAGTACGATACCTACACCACGCTGACCCAGTGAGCGGGCTGCGTCGTCTCCTGATGTGCGAAGGAAATACTTCGAGGATAGACTCAGGTGGCTTATAATACTAGGATCCTGAATTCGTGTCTCCGATACGCAGCAGACATCGATTTCTAGAGACTGCATTGTACGCGCAAGACGCCTGTTGACCCACTTACATAAGAGTCATCACGTTGAAAGCCCCCAGATTGAGAGGTTGACTAGGCCTCAGAATCTGCACTTTATTTACAGGAAAACTAGTTAGAGTGCTATTTGGCGAAGACCTTTGGCAAGTGACGACCAAGTTGTCTGATGGAATACCAGGAGACTGGACTTCGCCTGACCTGTATCCATTGACCTTCCAGGCATGATTAGATCTGCGGCTTGACAAAAGCCATCCCGAATAGCTCGTTGGGTCATAGAGGTGCACAAGCCGTCACACCACGCCAAGGTGCAGTCTCGTCATGATGGAAACTTGGTAGTAAACAGCTTATCTGTCTTCCGGCTCAATAACACGCCTCACCGAGTGGAGCCTTATGTGATTCGCCATTCGAAGTCCCGGGGCTTAGGTTGACGGTTACCATCGCTAAACAGTAGGTCTTCGTGAATATGGGTCCACCTGGTCTGCAGTTTCTCACACGCTGATGTGTAATAAAAAAGAATAACCGCGTATTTTCATAATTGCTTTACTTTCTTCATATGTTTTGTCTAGTTTACTGTATTGTGCATTCTTTTTCGAATGGTAAAACATTTTCTCTTATCACTACCGTTTCTCTCATTCAGATCTTGGAACGCAATGGAAGTCCTCAGTGTGCTCGGGGTCGTAGTGTAAAATGCGGGCAGCGAATACGACTGATGCACATAGTCACTCGGAAAAATTTGCATAGTCATCACTTCAGGTCACCCCTTTCTGAGGCTTATGAAGTGTCTGCATTTGGTGACGATGGTGTTGGAGACTCAGGTGAATTGCGGTTCATTTTAATTGCTTATGACCACTTTAAATCGATTAGCGGTAAATCAGCTTAATTACGTTGAAAATTAAGATATGGTTCACAGTTTTGGCAAATGCAAAGCTTGACTTGATTTTCGAACTCTGTTAAACCCTTTCATCTATAAAGATCTGGTTAATCCGTGATACGAAATCTTGAAATAATATGCAATTAAGCGGAATGAATTTTTCCTAATATATATATATATACACCGAGTAGCAAGTTTGTGCAAGTTGTAGTCTAGCCTTTCAACGTGTTACATTCATCATCATCGTACAGCGAACTACAGTGTGGCGAACTTCATTGATCGCTGTCAAACTTGCAGTGCATAGGTTAGTGGCAACATTTAAAGGGGCTGGGGATTACATTCTGCGTCGTTAACTATTATTTGATGAATCATCCACGAATTTGCAATACATACCAAAAAAGTGAGCGACACTTACAAATTCTACGGTTTTTGAAGTGAATTGTTAGTTGTTGAGATCTGTGGTCTGAGAAAAAACTGAAACGGGATTAAAATTAAGGCGAAAAGCATGTTATTTGTAGCCTATTATGTGGTGTTCACGAATTTTGGAATGTGGACCAGAACAAGGGCATGAACTAAGGGCGCTGGAGCGTGGGATCAGAGTAGACAGACAACGCATTTCGCAGCGAACATCACTCGTGAATCTGAGCCTAAAGCCTGTCCGAGCTATTCGATATTTCACTATACAGCAGTCCTGATGGAGGAAGAAACGGCACATCTCGACGGTTCAGGATCAAAACAAGAGTAGGTGATTTCTACAACGTCAGCTTATGATTAGTTACAGATAGGACCTTGAAAACAGATAGGCAGAAATAGTTAGTATAACTGAAGTAACCGCTGCAACACCGGAGATCGGTTAATCTCTGTGAAACAATCTGCGATTAAAAGTGGACAAGCTAGAGAACGACGACTGGACTACTGGGCGGAGTATTCCAACAAACAGTTCTGCTGACTTTGTGTTAGCCTGGTCTGTTGAAACTGAAGCTCCTTTGGCGATGTCATGTGATCCTCCGACAGACGTAGAGGTATGGTGTTGCATTTAACCTCTGAGTTGAGACCTGATAGGCTTCCTCCCACTCTTTTCAAGATGGGGTGTGTGATAACCTTGTAGCCTGCATTACTGACATTGCACAATGTCTGGTGACAGGAGCAAATGCCATCCTCCTGGGGGAATCAGTCGTCAAGAGGGGATCTCAAAACAACTGCGCATACCACTGCGGGGGAGTAGGATCCCGCCGTGCTTTGACATTTCATGCCTTTGAGGGAGACCGCTGTCTATAAACAGCATTACCGGATTTTGACCCGTTCGTCAGGTCCTCAGGTTGCATCATACATAGCGTCTGCTAATGATACAGCGTTCTACAATCTTAATGGAGCTTTTGACTCAGTCAATCGCAATGCTGTCTTCACTTCCTTTCTTCATAAAGGAATGCCTCCGAAGTATGCCACTGCACTCGCATGCTTCTGATAGAGTAATGCTCTACGGTGAGCAAAATAGGTTGTTCGAAAATAACAGCGGTGTTCATCCCAGGTTACCCTATTTCGCTTGACCTGTACAATTTCGTGGTATACGAAGTATTGGAGAACGCACTAAGTGGTCTCAGAAATGTTAGCATTGAATGGGCAACTGAGCGATTTTGAGTATGCATACGGCATCATCTGTCTATTGTAATGTATGAAGAATGCCCAAAGAGCTTTTTATAGACTGAAAATTTCTGCTGCTCCATTGAACATGTAGTTTTCACCTTCTAAGAGCAAAGCAAGACTTAGTGTCGATTGGTCCTGTTTTGAAACTAAATGGACGGCATTTGAGTGAATTGGATTGGTTGCATGTAAGCGGTTGTGTGACGGTAGAGGAGAAAAATAAATAGCCGTGCGCAGTTCAACTGTTCGATTAGCATTGACAAGACTGAGGCACCTTTGACATCGACGTGATATTTCGCTAAAGTTGAAAGTTGCGTATACCGTACGATCGTTCGATAAGTTCTACTTTACGGTCTAGGCTTTGAATTTTTGATTAAAATACATCCATCGACAATTGGTGCCTGATGGAGTGATCGGGTTAGTAATCTATAGATAAGCCGTCTTGTGTTCGGGAATTTCTCGGGGAAAATGCCCTATCATATCAAATTTAGGTTAGCGGTTTCCGCTGGCGAGGACACGTATTGTGCACGCCTAACGGTCACCTACCCCATAGTGCCTTGTTTTCAGCTACCGCTTCGCGCTAGAGAAAATCCCGTGGAGACCAACGCGAAACAGGTATCTTAAGCTTTGGGGCTTTTATTGTGGTAAACAACAAAAGTGCACTACCGAATCAATGTAATGATATTTTTTCGGTAGTGAACATGAAATCCAGAGTCCAAGAAGTAACTGCCACATTGGGGTGCAAATACACGAAGTCTGTCATAAGTTCCGAACGTCGCACTTTACAAAAAATCGGTAATTCAAGAGAGAAAACGTGATTATGATTCCTCTTTCAGAAAGTACTTCGTTTCTCACTGACTGTGTGTTCCACCAGCTTGAAATGTTTATACTTTCAAACTCACTATGATTCCGTCCAAATTAAGATCTGCAGAAAGAAAAGATAATCTTTAGTCCCAGGACTGTTACGATCTTTATCTGATTTATTCCTAAAATATCCAGCAATCGATTGACTGATCTACATACACTCCAGAATTCTATGTGCACGTGATGTTACGTACTAGTTCGGCGAACATTCCGTTCTATGAACGGAAAAGTTCAACGTAACAAACTTCTTGCAACCATAGTCTGTTTTCCACTCACGAACGGGTTTCAATAGTTACTACTCTGCATCCCTATCTGACGGAATCTCGTCTTGCTTTCCACTGTGTTGCGTGGCTCACTTTATTGATATTCTCTAGAGTTAGTTTTATGGTTTTGCATCTCTAGTGGCTGACAGTTGTGTTGTCCGGTTCTATATCATGCCTACCCTTTTGGAAGTAGAGCCTATGTAGTTCGCTGTTTCAGATCTCAGGGTTTAGATTACCGATTACCATCGGTGAATTGCAGGCCTTCATGACTGTGTAGTGTGATCTGTCCACTGGCCATCACATATCGATACGCAGTGAAAACTACTAATTTTCGCTCCTTTATGATTCTTTGGTTCACTCCATCACTGCAAATCACATGTTCTTCCTACGCAAAAGTCATGCGATAAAAAATGGTTTTGTGATTCTTTACTTTTCACTTCAGAACTAAATATGCTTTGAGTTTTCGATTCACTAAATACAGGTGCTTACTTTTGAAAAATAACAGATTTTCTTAAAATGTCTGTCAAGATTACCGTTTTACAAAACTTTCCTTGATATGATCCATCATTGGCCTCGTTGGAAAGTGCATTTTCGTATTGTAAGGCATGTAACCTTTCGCATTTTCAAAAAAAGAAACTAATGCTTTCTCTCTCTTTGGTTGTCTCATTCGCCTCTTCTGATATTTGTAGGGGATGACTGGCAGGTTGTTTGTGAAGGATCACATTGGCGACGTGGCTCGAAGATACGCCTAAAGCACATCGCTACAGAAGGGTAGGTTCTTCACTGTTCTCATTTGATCTCGAAATAGTCTTAGGAAAGAGATTTTTCTACTGTTCACTGCTATAACTCGCCGCCCACTACTATCGTTCTTTGTAACATAAAACAAACTTTTGTCTGGTAAACTGTTCTCGTTGCAGGGAACCGTTTTCTAACCAATATGCTCCGTCAGATGGTTTTGAAAACGGATAAGTTATTTGAATCACTTTGGCCGTTCACCTTGTTTTCTCTCGCACAAATACACTAATCGATGTAAGCTGTTTCAGTGAATTATCTTCATGCGCCACAATGGCCATACGCATATGCACACGTCATGTCGAATTCTGTGTACTCACATTCTTCACACAAATCGGCATAACTGTAACTGTGTTGCCTTTTTGCGTACACCAGAAGAATAAGAAGCTAAAATGATGTCTGCATTTTATCATAAAGTTTATTTCCATTATAGGCCGTAAAATTGCTTTTTTTCAGAAAAACTACCATATTTGTACAGAAAGTTAGCATAACGTCAGTCCATTACTAAGGCTGTCTTGCTGCGTTTTGTAAAGTCAAATTGGTTTCTGCAACTTCATTCTCTTATTGGTGGCAATCTGTTACTCTCTGCAAACAACATTATTTTCAGTTTCCCACCAGCGATTTTCTTCAACATAGATAGTCATCTTTGCCTAGAGTGAAACTTATATAACGTGAAATCATTACGAAGTTCTGTCGTGTTTATCGACTATCTCGAGTTTTATTATGCTCTCTTGCTCGAAGTAAAACTTTATTTTTTGCTAACTGGTAATTTCTGTACACACTCGTTAGATATTATAACAGCTTTATTTGTTTCCGTTATGCAGCTATCTCAGCGTATCAGGTAGACAATACAACAAACCCATAGCTGGACAGCATGAAGTATGTGTTGTGACTAGTGCATCCAGTTCAACCTATTGGATCGCCGGTGAGGGAGTTTATATGCATCCGCAGGACAATTCGAGTCAATTGTCAAGTCACGATTCTGATCATGACGAGCTGTGATATTGCAGTAAGCATTCGTTGTACAATTTTTTTGTTTGAATGTCCTAAATCGTTGTGCTTTCATGTTACCAGCTAACTCAACTAAATGGTAGGAAACCTTGCTTTCTGTTCTTTTTTCTTGTAAGTTTACACTTTGAATTTAAATTTAATGCCTTCTCGTTTTACCAGTGTATCACCTTAATAAAAGCATAACGCTGGTTCCCACTGCCGGCAAAAATAGCAATGCTGTCTAGGCTTAGAGTATTGACTTGTGAATCCGGTGAAAGTATATTCCAATTTTGGGAAACAATCAGTCCTGGTGGTCTCGACACACACGGACGAATCGCTAGTCTAAACGTGAGACCGTCAGCATTTAGCTGACCGTATATTGATTTTTCTTCGTTCACCATATTGAATTCCATCAGGTCTATTTTTTTCATTCCGTCTTTCAGGCAGCTTTTAATTACCCATTTGGTCCTTACCCGCCTCACATTTGGACTGGCGTTGTGTGAGTGTCATGAATACCAGTAAGGAATATTTTCCAAGGGCCTTAGATACTTCCACTAGATTTACGAGCAAAAACTGTAAACCTGAGTGGACAAGACAGTTGTTATTTTCACTGGACAGTGGTTCACGTTGGAATCATTGGTCAACTGATCAGAAAATGGTCCAAGCTCAACATCCCTATGCTCAAATAACAAGTCATGACTTGCTTAATGCGTCTTTCTCATTCCGTTCGATGGGAGACGACTCTGTGGTCATCCGTCGCCGTGTTAATGGTCTTCTACCAAATTATCATGGTTCAGTACACCAAATTGATAACCTACTGCTGTCCACCGTCTTCGTAATGTATTTACTTAACGATTATGGGTTTATCTGTTCTACCGAGCTGTGTAATAAGGATAGGAATCAGGCTACATATCGGCTCGCATATGAATCGTTTAAATCATTTTCAGTGTGAGATGTTTGTTTTTATCCATTTCATACACGCCAATTCTCGAATGAATTTCCCAGGAGAATGATCTCGGTTTTAATTCAATGGAGACTATTCATCTTAATGACCATCCATACGACCCTCGTGTGCGTATCGCTTATGTATGTAGCAGTTAAAATGGATAAAACCGTGTTATTTCATCGTCTCTAAGCCGTAGCTTTCGTTTTTCAAATCAAGACGGTTTGTTTTGGTGTTAAATATTTGAATTAGCTAACCAGACTGTGTTCTTGTGCTTTCCTGTGCTGCTTTCACCACCGCTTCTCATAGGTCGTTTTTACATCTTGGATCAATTTATCAATCGCAAAACTTTATTATTATTGAATAACTGTTGGTAATGTTTGCTTTTTCTGTTTTATCTCGTTCTTCAAGATCGCACTTGCTACGCAACCGGGGTGCCCTGTATCCTCACAGAGAACAGGACATGTGTAGGATCTGTCATTTTCCACAACAAACTATTTCAAAATCCCCACCTGCCCCTACCCTGCATTCGACTGACTTTCAAACTGCGTTGGTGTATGTATTCTCGTTCTGTTCATTGTTTTCTTACTGTATAAAGTTTCTTTCCGACACCCCTCCTAACTTTACCGGGTACAATGTTTTGTTAGATCGGTCAATTTTGACCTTTTCGGGCAGCGAAATAACTTATGGTTTGCCTCGCGCGTCCACCCCAACTCCGCTGTTATGTTACAGCTGAGTTTGTGCAGTTTCGCTTATTTTTTTTTATCTGCAATATAACGCTGATGATGCAATTTGTTGTGGCAATTAAAAGACAATGTCAACCGGGGTCAAGAACCACTAGTCGTGTCGTGAACTGACGGTCACTGTCTAGAGGAAAGGATGGAGTCTACGGAATGAATCGAGAACAATTTACAGCTTTCCCAATAGATTACACTCAAACAGGGGTGCTGAGGTGCCATTTCGGAGTTCGTCTCATTGACCAGTGTTCGGCTACCTGCAGATCAGAATTGGAATGATCTTTCACTGACGAGAATATTAGCTAATAGAACAAAAACAAAATGAACTGCTTAATATGACGGAGGCAGCTGATTTTCTAGCGTTACATTTGAATTGCACACGGCGGGAAGTTGATACGTTTGTTTGTCTACCCAAAGTGAAACCGTGATCCTACTAGTTGATGTCAATTTTTCAGTGAAAATGTCCCAGAAGGTTTCGCATGCGTCGAAGCGATGATCAAAATTTGGTCATAACTTCGTCCAGGGTAGCTGTATTAAACAATACATAGACGATTGTACAAAAATTATGATAAACTGTTTTATGATTGGTGAACCCCCGCACAACACGGTAGCTACCCTACCTGGTAGACAGGTCCAGTTTGTACAATCACTAGCCATGCACTTTCTTGCGCCGGTTTTGGCTGCCCGCTTGGATGAAGCAATGGGAGAAAGACAGAAAAGTTGAAAGTAGAACGGAAGAAAAAATGGAGAATTATAGTGGACTAAAGTTTCGAAGAAATTGAAAAGATGCATGAACACCATTGTTTACTACACAGTGTTTTAATCACTGCTTAAAGATCAACCCAGAGGTCCCCATCCAGGGAGCCTAACACGACCTATGCGACCGAGTCTCCTGGTTACGGTTGTTCATACCGTCGCGCCAGGTCTAATTTTAGCTACCTTTGGTTTTTCCACCCACTACTTGCCTCGGCAAGCATAGCGCGCGTGTTCGAGCTCCGTTGTTTCATTATCTCACTGTTTTTTATCTCGTGTCAGCCCTCTGATTGGCTTATTCTTGAGTGTTGATCGTGGAATCGACTATTCAACACCAGGATTTGAAAACGTGTGTATGTGCTACCATGAGGCTATTACTGATCTGAATTAACTTGATTAGTAAACTCCCGTTATTCCTGTAAGTACTGTTGTTTTCACTGGATAAAAAATCACGTGATACCAACTAAAGTAAAACATAACTTTGAATGTGTGCAATCCATATTTGTCACACGAAGCCGATTATCTTGCGAGGGCTGAGAAAAAAATTGTATCTGTTATACAAAAATAAGCATTATATTTTCTCAAAGTATTCTCTACCAACGTTCATTCGCTCAAACCATTTGATGAAAAAGCTCGACCGTGCCGAAACGAGCAACCCTTCGACCAGTTCGATAAAGGCCTCCGCTGCAGCTGTTGATGACTATTATTGGATTCCACGCATCATGCGCCTGACATTTGAGAACATTGCTTCTTGAAGGCACGTCATCACAAAAGGCAGTTCGCAAACGATCAACACTCTGATGCTACTTCAAGCTACATTTGTAGTCGTAGAAAATCACCGTCCCCCAGTGACATTGATTGAGTTCCATCCTTACATTCCGAGTCTAGCGACCCTTATGCCCTGTGAGCTGTGCTCGTCTGTTGATGTTTGGTTCTGTGAGTTGCAGTCACGATAAATTATAGTCCACTTTTTCCTTACCCGGTCATCTGCACCTTGTACGTTTACAGCGTATCCGGAAACACTATGTTCAGCCCTCGTACACATGGTGAATCCATCAGATAAGACAGCAGCAGTTCGTGTCTGAATATTCCGATTAGAACATACTTCGGGTATTTATACTGTACATTTTGGTGTTTGTATGCAGTTAAGTATACCAAAGTAATCAAAATGTTTGTACAATTTTGAAATCCTTGGGGGAGGGGAGGGAGATCAGATATGCACCATCTTGGTTGGATATAATTGATAAAACAGGTTGACGAAGCGAGAGCAGAACAATTGCGAAAGAAACTTAACAATCCAAGACAATAGAGATAGCCTATGTATTGTATGGAGATTGTTAAACTCTGGCGCTGCCTTTCCCTGAAGGGAGTGCCCGAGAAGTTTATTTCAATATTACAATCCCTCTACAATAATAGCCGAAGCCGAGTTCGAGCTTACGGCACTTTTTCACCCGAGTTCACCACGGAAAGTGGTGTTCGACAGGGTTGCCCTCTCTCTCTCTTCTATTTAACTTTGTCATAGATTTAATTCTTGAAACAGCCCTATCCTCGTGTAGGGATAGCGGTATCGATTTACTTCCGGGTGTCAGACTGTCTGATCTAGAGTATGCAGACGAAATTGTGCTACTAAGTGAAGATCCAGGTAAGTTGCAAGCTTTTCTGGATAGTTTGAGTGTTAGTGTTGCCATGTTCGGTATGCGTTTTTCACCTTCAAAGTGTAAAATGTTACTACAAGTTTGGGTTGATCCAGCGCCCAGTCTCACCCTGACTGGGGAAGTAGTAGAGGAAGTAGACAAGTTTTGCTACCTGGGCAGCTATATCTCACCCGGCGGACGCATCCCAGATGAAGTGTCGGCGCTCATACAAAAGGCTCGGTTGGCATTCGCCAGCTTGAGACATTTGTGGTGCCGTCGTGACATCCGGCTGTCTGTGAAGGGTCGAGTATATGCTGCAGCAGTTCTGCTTTACGGTGCAGAGACTTGGCCATTACGGGAACAGGATAAAAATAGACTGTCGGTGTTCGAACACCATTGTCTACGTAGCATTGCACGTGTCTGGTGGGGTAACCGGACTAGCAATGCTGAGGTTAGGCGTAGAGTTTTAGGCAGTCGCGGTCGTCCACTAGAAGAAGGGATTGACCTCCAAGATTACGCTGGTTGGGGACACGTGCTACGCATGTCACCAGATAGGTTGCCACGGCCAACGATATTTGCCAAGGCTGGTGGCGATTGGAAAAAACGAAGGGCGGTCAAGCTAAGACTTGGCATGAGGGTATGAAAACCCTAACCAGGAGACTAGGTCACATAGGCCTTGGTTGGGGACCTCGGGATGATGGTCACCGATGGTTAGCTACACTGAGTGATATGGCTGGGTGGCGCTCGTGCACCCACTCGTTATTTTCCTAACACAACTCTATACGTATTCCCCATCTTCCGCTTGAATTTGCTTCGACATTCCAATCTTCATTTCGCTCTTTTATCCAAATGGGCAACCAAAACCGGCCCACGAAAGTGCATGGTTAATGGTTGTAAAACTGAAACTGATGGGGATTGTAATAGTGGACTCATTGATAATGCTGA